AAGAGAGATGACCAAGAGCTTTGGTGAGGGGAAAAAGCAATAGTATACAGAGAAAAAGTCAGATTTAAAATGGGATACATTTATTTGGGGAGGGGGGGGTTGGGCTGCATCACAGACCACCCAACCTCAGATCCTGACCTAGCGTGCTCTCAACAGCCTCACTTCTTCCACTGGAACCAGCGCTCGAAAGAAACCAACCCCTATGTTTAGCTTGTAAATGTTTAACCATCAATCAACATCATAAAAGCCCTCTCTGGATCCTGACTGGATGCTCTCCCTCTCCCTCTCCCTCTCTCGTTACTTCTAGCAGGTCCTTTCCACTTCTCCTCTTCCTCCCCCCTCTCTTTATTCCCTCGGCTCCTCAGCAGTGGAGGATGCTGGGCATATGCCACGGTGCCACTCCCCTTTTCCTTTTTCCAATCTGGCCCTCAGCTCCGTGACAGCCATCAATCACAACCGACGCCATGGCGACGGGGCCCTCGGGGAGGCGTCCGTCAGGCACAGCGTGAATACGACGGTGTTTTTTTTTTACGAGCGCTGCGGGCTAACGCACTCACCTCCCCCAACTCTAGACAAAGACAAGGGTCTAAGGACTCGTACTGTCCACACACACGTATCCACACACACACTTGCCTGACCCTCGACATCCACAAATGAACAGAAGGAGAGCCAACGTCAGAGCGAAGGGCAACCACAAGATGTCGGGGGAAGAGACGACCGCACAGAAACTCTGAAAGCTCCCCATAGTGATCAGACTCACGATGTTTCCTGGTTTGCTAAATGCTTTCCATGTTATAAAAATTGTCTCTGTGAAACCACAAGCTGCAATCTAACATCTTATCATGAGCTGCTTAATCTCTCGCAACCGGTCTGAGGGTGTTTCCTTATTAAATACAAAGGAAATTGCTAAATTATACGAGTTAAATTCGGTCTTATAATTATTATTTGTCTAAAATAAAGATATCCCCCCCTCCATAGACACATGCAGAGTTTTGAAATCTGAGATGCTTGTCCAAAGTTCATAATAAAATACTGTTTCAGTTGTTCTTTTACAGATATTCTGTGCATCCGAGATTCTTAAAGTCAAATTGAATGTCTTGAAACTGTTTGTTTACTTCAGTCCAAAACCCAAAGATACTCTGAATTGATATGGAACGGAACAAGCAGGAAATGTACTTAGATTATTATTTTAGAGCCTGAAAACAGCTTTTTCTTGCACGAAGAAGTTACTTTGAACATCCAGATTGTTGGCGGCTAATTTTCTGTTGATCAACTTATCGTTGTAGCTCGAGATAAAAATCACATTTTGCAACAAAAAAAAATCCAGAACAAGCAAACGACAACAAGCAAGAATGTTACCATGCAGTATGCTTTGTGAATCAACACTGGTTTTAAACTAAATGCACACCTTGGAGCTGCAATAATAAGGAATGTGTTTATTGAAAAATGGCAGTGCTGCTCTTCTGCCTCCCAGGTCACCTGCCAGATCAGGAGGCCTGTTACCGTGACAACCCTATCTGCTAAGAGCAGGACCAACATCTCAGTTTTAACCCCTTCCTGTTTGATACACCACCAACCTTCGTACTGTGTATCAGTGAACACGAGAGGACTCCTTAACCTCTAATGTCTTTCTTGGCTGTGCCGATACAGCAGAAAACAGAACAGTATTTTTGTTTACTTCATTTTCTTTCGCTACATGATGAAACACAAGGGATGGGAACAGCAACCGACTAGCAGTTTGCACTTTCTTTGATCCTCATGAGGCTCCTTTTGAATGCTTACTCAAAGCTGGAAACAATGCAGCTCATGAAAAAAATAAAAAAAAAAGCACCATGGCGAAAATTGCATATTTATCAAGATAGCTTTTTCATACTTGCATGCCATGGGCTATCATAAGAAGAGCAGTCCACACTGAATTGTGTACTTGTCCCGAGCTCTTTTTAATAGATGTTGGGTCCCAGACTGCCTGTACAGTTTTTCAGTTTGAAATTCATTAGGATTACGTCACTGCAGATAAAACATTTCACTATCAACTGGAGCTACCATACACCAGGGCAGCTGGAGTGCTTTACAGAAATCAAGCTGTTTGTCTCTGAAGTTGTGCAGAACACACATTAGTTTCTTATTGGGCTTCCAAACTGTGGCAGGGGGCTAAAGTGTGGAGAGGACGGGGAGAGCTCGACAGGTCTGACTCAGGACATGCTGACGTCAGAATCATTTTCCCAGAAGCCTATAAAGCTCACTGCTGGGTGCTTCATTCAAGCCAACGACAGGGCAAGATGACCATTTAGAAATGTAGGAGAAAACAATAATATAGTATCCTAAATTGAATAAGGCTGCAAAAGAGGCAGTGGACAAAACCAAATGACTGATATCGCAAAAAGAAAGTGAAAGAAGGGTTACATCGGGATGATTCTTCAAGCTTCAAAGAATTCACAATAAGTTGAAGCCATATCACACTTGAAGGGGCATGAGGGAGATTTTGTCAGGACTTGAGTGTTGACAAACCGAGATTATATGCACTTGTGTTCTGATAGCATCAACAACAAAAAAACAAGACTCGTTGCACAAGCCAAGTTTAAGGCGCATTATTTAGACCACTTCTTAGCAAAGTTGTTGTCTCCTTTAGCCGAAGACAGAGCAATATGTACATCAGTTCCCGTGTAAGCACTACTCACGTAATCATGGAAGGCTTTCGCTTCGCTGGAGTGGTCACATGACTCTCTCCTCTCTGGCGCAGCACAATACAAGTCCCAGAATACACTGTGGAAGAGACCGGTCATAAAGCAAACAAAACCACACAACAACCCCTGAACACGTGTACAGGAAAGACTTGAATATGTTCACTTACCACCACCAGGAATGGAGGAATCCAGGAGGTTCTCCAAGTGTTATGTTTTTCTCCCATCGTATCTAGGAAAGAGGGATTTCAATAATTATCCAAGGGTGTTAATTTAAATGATTTACTGTTGTTTTTTCCTTAAAGAGCACAATCACAGGAGAGTGTGGTTTTAGTTTTTCCCAAAATGTCACATACCTCTGATAAAAAGGTCTGTGCAGACTTCTGAGCTCCTATGTGCAACAAATACTCATAAACGTACAGAGCCAACCTGTGTGGGGAAACAAATATAATGTTAATTTAACAAACTGGTCATAAATAAACGTCAAACAGCTGATTTAATCTTCTTCAACGAGCACTTGAGTGACTAGAGTCGGGCACGGGCCTTTTGAACAATGGCTGCCAAATAGCCTATGCCAAAAAAATTCAATGGGGACTGTGTAATCAAGCTACAACCTGGGGTAAGATTCACTACAATGAGCAGGTGAAAAGGAAAGTGCTAAAGCAACAGTATAATTCAGCGTCGTGTTGTGTTGAAAATAACAGCGGCTATTTATATTAGCAGGGGTACAGTATCCTGGTGGCACTGATGGGGCTGAGGGAAATAAAAACGGAGCGCAACACAGAAAACAATGTACTGTGCAGCATGTTATTGTTTCCTCCTCTTAAAAAACCTGCAGGAATATGATTAAAACACAACCAAACTGAAGTGTGAATCGTACAGCAGAGGTGTAAAGAGACTGGAAATAGCCACATTAGCAGAAACACGGCTCAGGGGAGGAATGGCGAGCAGACAAGGCGGTTCATTCAATTCAGTAGTCGGTAGGAGGAAATCGCCTCCTGTTAGCCCGTCCAGCGATCAACAGAGGAACAACTTGCGAGGCGAAAAATACACAAAAATAAATGTTTCGGAGCTTACTTTTCTCTCGCCTGGCCGTCGGAGGGCACCGGGGAGCCTTTGCCTTTGGGGAACATTGTTTTGTGTGGGAGGACGACCGCCTTCTCGCTCTTTTTTATCGCTATTTCATCTGTCAGATCATCGCGGCCGCGACCCTCTCGCACTCCAACCGCACTCCTCCTCAACGCGACGTCTCAACCGAGCCTGGTCCGGGGGGGAAGGGGCGGAGCTAGGCCTGACTGACGCACCTGACAGCCAATGAGAGCTCGGCGTTTGCCTTAAGGTCTGCCCATGGGTCTGCTTCGTCGTGCTTTTCAGTTTGGGCTGTTATGACGATGATAGCTGTTATATCAGATAGGCAAAATGTGATGAAGAGTATTTATTATTTACCCTAATGATTTTACCCTATGCAATGGGAATTAAATATACTGGTAATCAACCAACACTTACATTTTATTAAGAAAAAAAAACTGAGATTATTTTAACTCTAAGAAATATTTATTATGTAAAAAAAAAAGATATGATGTATCATCCCCAAAATATAGAGCCCTGAAAAGATTTTTTTATCAACAGATTTAAGATTGAACACAAACATTTATATTTCATTTAATCCTCCCTTTTTATTATTGTTATTTAACCAACAGATACATATTGTTTTTTTACTTGACTGTTTATTCATCTCATTGTTTCCTGAAAAGCCTATATGCATTATATTTATACATCGCGCTCTATACCAAAAGTAGTTTATATTTCTAAATGTAATGGGCTTTTGGGTTGATTAATTATCAGCAACTTTTAATAAGGAGTTAGGGACTAATAAATAACGAGGATTTGGGATTGAATAGCCTTGTTTTCTCTTACTTAAAACAAATATGTGTAGGCTTATGATTCAGAATAAATCAATAAAAAGTCACAAGTATATCACAGTACAAGATGTGTGTTGCTTCACCTTATAATGAAAATGGCAAGGGTTAAACTTTTCAAAGACCTCTTGAGTAATGGAAGATATTACAAATCTTACATAAGCCTGTTGAAGGTTAAAAAAACAAAACAGTTTACAAGGTCCATACAATTGTGCATCGTTGTTTTAATTGAATAAATGCATGGACAATATGGTGGGTATCCCCCAACATGAAGTAACTCTACAGTTCCACCTTAAAAATGTGGACGTAAGTAACCACTAAAGGGGAAGGTCTCTCCCCCTCTCTCTCTCTCTCTCTCTCTCTCTCTCTCTCTCCCTCCCTCCAGTGGTACAGCTGCTAAATCTGAAGCGTGTGTGTGCATGTGTGTGTTTATAAAGTTGTTGAAGAATGGCTGTAATGAAGAGAGGTCCGGCATGCAGGCTGCTGTTTCTCAACCAGCATTAAGGTGTTGTATCCAACGGTTCATTTGCACTTGAAGGAAATTTCACCATACGCAGTAAAATAAAAAATAGGTAAGTCTTTTTAATGTTTTTTTAGTGTGAAATACGTTGATGTTAGCTTTGTTTTGGACACTAAGTAGCAGGCTGCCTCATGTGTTCTTGTTATTATTTCACAACAGAGGTTCATGATACATGCTGTGGTATGTCTCATTTCTCTTGAGGTCAATGCAAAGGTCACTCCAGCTCCTGTCTCTGACAACAGGAACAATAGGTGATCACTGTGGCCCACTGAAGGAGCAACAGTTTTGGGCAAACCATGGGGCAAATACTTCTACCTCAACAAATAGCCTCCATGAATACCCCATCTGGCTTCATGTCTTTAAATAGTTTGTCTGTGCCTGGAAATAGTTTCTGTCCCAGCTTGATAAAACATGCTCTAAAAAATACAACTCCTATCCTATGGAAGTACTGCTTGCCAGAGTACTTGACAGGCAGGATAATTATATGATGCAGGGTTATAATCATAAATAGGCATTTCAGGTGTTTCCTGATCCCTGAGTCATGGGATAAATATTGAGCAATTCCTCAGACCACAAACGGATTATTTAAAGCGTCTTATGTTGCAGCAGTGGCTCAATCTGTCTGCAGTTTTCACATTTGAACAGATTCTAGGTATGAACACATTACACACGTCTGTCCATTCGTAGTGGATCTTCTGACTCAAGTTACTGTTAGGATGATGTGTGTTTTAACAGCTGTGTTCCTGACCCCTGAACCACAACATGGACAGTTTGTTCAGATGAAAGTGTCCACGAATGCATCCCAAGAACTTTCCAAGAAGCTCCTTTGATTTTCAACGTCATGTTCCAGATTTCATTGCTAGGAATCTATAAACGTGGTCGTATTCCAAATGTTTGGACGGCATCACATTAGCTGTATTCAGTGATGTAGACTTAAATGTTATGTTAAATTGGGCCTAATATGCTTATTTCAGCATCATATTTGTATTTTGTGCCTCTACTGTTTCCATGCTTTAATGTTCAAAAAGGTCTATTTTTCTCGCACTGCCTGCCTGTGCTGGGGCACCTTTTTTCTCCTCAGTCAAAGGCTTAGAGATGTCCCGCCCCTTAACCAATCACATACAATGTGTTGGAGCGCTAGCCAATAGAAGTGTGACGGTTACATAGTGATGTCACTATGTTCCTGAAGAAAACAAATGAGTCCAATGGAGGCGTTTCAGGCTGGGGGGGAGTATTTAGGAGAGAACCCCCTCCTTAGGGAACTTTTTTACCCTTTGAAGACCATTTACATCGACAAAAACCAATATAAAACATTACAAATATATTGTGTTTACTGTCATAGACCCAAATAAATCACAATTAAGAAACTGGACTTAAAGATGTTTTACTTTTTTTAACCTTAAAAACTCAAACTGATAAATGAATTATTAAGATAGTTGGTGATTCATTTAATAGTTCACTAATAAATTCATCTTTGCAGATCTAGCGGCGATAATTTTGTCTTTATTTGGCTCCCAGGTTGTTCTTTGAGACAGGAGTCCAAATAAAAGTGTGAAAGATTTTCCTGTAACACATTCTTCTTTGTTTTCTGTCCGTGCAGTTTGTTGTGAGAGATGACGTCGGAGGGGAAGTATGCAGACATCATGCAGGACCCTCTGTTCATCCAGGAGAGCGACGAGGTGTACAGGAACCCCACGGAGGTGAAGATGAGTCAGATCGTGCTGCCGTGCCACGCCAATCACTGCGGAGAGCTGAGCGTCGGCCAGCTGCTGAAGTGGATGGACTCCACAGCCTGCTTGTCTGGTAGGAAGACATCAGAAAACCTCCTACTTGTTTCTTTTCAACTCTGAGTACTTCTTCCTGCAGCTCAGCATCACAACATGTAACTGATTATATAATAACTTCACACGGAGACCATCTGCAACTCTGAACATGCACCATGGTTATCTAATAATATCCCATCATGAAAACTGAGATGCAGTTTATCAGAGGTCCCACAGCCAAGATTTGAAACCATTCTCTTGAAAGGGGTGTCCCTTTTTTATAGTAAGCATTTAGTCAAAGTCAACTTTAATGTCAATCTTTCAGTTTGTGTGTACAGAGAGATTGAAATGACGTTTCCAACAATCCCGAATGTATAAAATATGTATATCCTATATATACACATAACAGACACATTTACACATATGGACACATTAAGATAAAAAACACAACAATCAATATATACAAAATAACAGTCACTTCAATATCAATATCTTTGGGAATGTACATTAGTGCAAGATTGTCCATAGCAGCGTAAACATTTTTTCACATAGATAAACAGGTGTGCAAGTGTGTGTCTTAAACATACCCCAAAAGCTCATCTAAATGCATCCCTGAAACACGTGTACCAAAGCATGAGATGTTATTTTGTCAAGTTGTGTTTGCTTATCTGTTTGAGGGTTGCATATTAGACCATGAATGCTCTGTTTGTAGTCTTGACTACGGTAACACATTGTTGTTCAGATTATGTTTTTGTTGAATTGCTGTTTCAAAGGGCATGATCATTGGAGCTCTAAACTTTCTGTTACAAATTCATTGTTATACCAGGAGTAGGCAATACTACTGTATCTACAATCAGGAGAAATTTCATATTTTGATAGATGTACAGCAAAACATAGCAGAATTTAGTTTGAAAATCGATGGAAAAACTGTTTAAAATTGACAAGAAGGTCTGTTTTGGTTTAATTTAGCCACATTAAATATTGAATATCACAATTAAGGTCCAATATTGCCAATAAAAGATTTGTGTTAATTTATTTGCAGCATTACTTTTTTAATCCAGATTTATTTTTGGATTTAGGGTCCCTGTTTTCATATTATGGTATATCTATACACAAGCAACAGATAGCACTTACCTATGAATCTTTTACGGATGATGTATAGAACAATTAATTGCATTCAAATTTTAATATTTGTGTGTGAAAGATTATTTCTGTATGCCTTTCACACATTCACATTTTACAAGCTTTCACTTTGCCTGAATTGAATATGGACTATTTAAATATTTGTTTAATCTCTCCTCGTCCAGCTGAGAGACATGCAGGTTGTTCCTGTGTCACTGCATCTGTGGACGACATCCTTTTTGAACACACCATAGGGTGAGATATTAACCCCTATTTTGCTCTCACTGTGCTGTGTCTCCACTTGATTATTATGTTTTACACAGATTGTGTTGCTACTATAACCACTGCTGCGTGTTGACAGTAAGCGTCTGTCTGTTTTACTCCAGGGTGGGAAATGTAGTCAACATCATAGCAAAGGTCAACCGAGCCTTCACATCCAGCATGGAGGTTGGTGAAATACAGTTTTTTATTTCTACACAGTGAATGTATAATTTCAGAAAAACATGTGGTGGTTCTTTTCATTTCAGGTGGGTATTGTGGTGAATTGCGAGGACCTTTACGCTGACAGGCAGTGGAAGGTTTGCCATGCCTTTGCCACCTTTGTTGCCCGACGAACTGGAGCTGGGAAGGTAAGGGATAAGAACTGAAATATGGATGTTTTACTGAAGCTGGTTCAACATCTCCTGCGTTTGTTTATGTGCGTGCAGGTTCAGCTGAAGCAGGTGCTCCCTCACACACAGATGGAGCAGATGGAGTACAGCCTGGCAGCAGAGCGGAGGAGGATGAGGCTGATCCACGCTGAGACCATTACAGACCTACTGAACAGCAGCACAGCGCAACTGGGTAAAGGCTGTAGGCATACGGCTTTAAATCACTACACACATGCACCATTTAAAAATCAGTTTGTACTTATTTGGGATGTTGAGTATAGCTGCCAGGAAATCAATCACAAAGAAATGGCTCAAAGCAAGCAGCCCATCCATGGATGATTGATACGATGTCATTTACGAGATCTTTGTAATGGAAAGAATAACCTTCTCTATGAGGCTCCAGGAACTTAAGTTTGAGGACATTTGGGAGAAATGGAAAGTGTATATTACCCCGATACGCTCTTCTTTTGTTTAAAAGGGGACCTATCATGCAAAATGCACTTGGTGAAGTCTTTTATACATAAATATGTGTCCCCGGTGCGTCGGGGAACTCACGCATCGTCAGAAAATAAAACCCTCTCTCTTTTGCTCCGTACCCAAATCTTTTAAAAACGGGTGTACAACGAGCGGATACAGATTTCCATCCGCTGTGACGTGTCCATCCGCTGTGACGTCGGCGGACCCACAGAAAGTTGCTATCAGAAACAATGCCTGACGTGTTTTGGACGTCTTTGTTTACATTAGCAAGCCTCGCTAACACTCAGAGCTAACCTGTACTGGAGAGCATATGTGTTTTTAAAAAGCAGGAAATAAAAAGGAACTCACCTTGTGATAAACCCGCAAGAGAAAAAGCATTTGAGCTCCATACTGTTTCAGAAATAATCCTTGAAGTGGTTTAGAACAGGATGGCGTTTTATCACAGCAGAATTTAACTTAAACTCCGGTAGAATTCTGATCAGGCATTAGCTCCGCCTCCTCTTTCTTCTTTTATTTTTTTCAAGCTAAGGACCCAAGATCTGCGTTTCTCTAACAGGGCTTCAAAAGAGGGGTTTGAGCAGTATGAGGCATGGCTACAATGGCTGATCTGTTTGGTATTTTGAAAAAAAAGCTTCACAGACATGCTTTGTATAGGTATGGCCCTACAATATATTTTTCAAACATAGCATGATAGGTCCACTTTAACTGTTTGAATATTTTATTTAATGATCTATACTGTCAATGTTTCATATTGAAAAGGAAACACCCCATGTTCTTGTGTGCTTATTGTTGTTGTTTTGTCAAGAAAAAGAAAAAGATGGACCACTCTGTAAAACTATTTAACATATGTATACAGTATGTACACTGAAGTTGAAATGTGATCAAAAAATAAAATACAAATCTGATTGATTTAAGCTCTTTGTTTTTCCTGCCCCTCACCAGGAGAATGTCAGGAGTACCAGGACGCTGTGCCAGCTGAGCGGACCCGGGTGGAGAGTGTGGAGCTGGTGCTGCCGCCACATGCTAACCATCAGGTCAGCACCTTCGGAGGACAGATCATGGCCTGGATGGAGAATGTAGCTACAATTGCAGCAAGGTCTGTACCTAATGTTCTAGTTTCCCTTAGTTTGTCTCAAATAAGACTTAATCTAGCTTTAAATAAATGGTTTAACACTTTGAAAAACTGCCTATACAGCTTTTTTCACTGAGCCAGCAGTCGGTTAGCTTAGACTGAAGACCGGAAACAGGGAGAAACCACAGGAAATATATTGTATTAAAATACACCGGCCAGCACATTATGTCTTATTTCTTTATCAAAGACAAGTTGTGGTTAAACAGGGGAAAATGTGTTGGACAGTTTCTTGGCATAACACATTGACTTCTTGGTGCTTTTCTTTGAGACTCCCGGAAGTCACTGCAACCGGCGAAGACTCCAAACCCCTTAAAAATAATAAACAGTCTTTTTTACATTTGTTTATATGCATTAATCAAATAAGATGATTATGGAAATTAGCGACCGTTAAAGATGCTGGTAGGTAGGTTTTGTTGCTTTCGAACAGCCCCGCTTTTCTCTTCTCTTTTGCCTCACATTTAACAGGGAAATGTGAGAATGGCATCCGTTTCCTCACATAACATCCAACACGAAAAAAAATAAGCTTGTTCCTAGAAATATCAAATTAACCCTAGTTTGCTCAGGCTTTTGTAATAAGACTAAGGTTAAAAACATCAACACGTAACAAACTACAAACACTTTTCTCTGTTTTCCTTTCATTTTCCTCTAGTCGCTTGTGTAACGCTCACCCGACCTTGAGGTCCATAGACATGTTCCATTTCCGTGGTCCGTCTCACATTGGTGACAGACTGGTACTGAAAGCCATTGTGAACAATACCTTCAAGCAAAGGTGAGTTTACACATTATGAAAGAAACTAAAGAATGAAGCAAATATCTCTCAAATCATCCACTTTAGGTTTGCAATGGATTCCTTAAACAAGGCTTTTACAGTCTGAAATGTGTTCATACTGTACGTCTGTGTATGTTTTCTGAACTGCACTTACTTCTTGTGCTGTAGCATGGAGGTGGGGGTGTGTGCTGAGGCCTACAAGGGTGGGGAACCTCTCCGCCATATAAATAGTGCCTTTATGACCTTTGAGGTGCTGGACAGTGACAGGAAACCGTGCACGGTGCCACGGATACGACCTGAGCCTGTGGTGAGTTTTCTTAGTGTCCTGTAGCTTCCTGAAAGTCCATGATGAGCAGTAATTAGACCCTCCAGAAAAACGCGATTCTGCGATCGCAGAATTTACCGCATAATCAGCAAAATGGCGCAGATTTTTAAAAGGACGTATATTTATCAAAAGGCCGCATAATCCCCGCATTTTTCCACACAAAGTTGAGAAGAAAAAAAAGTTAACTCGTCTTGACGTGACGTCATCATCTCGCGCATCACAGAATGTAAACAACACTGTATAGAGTGAACGTGTGGAGCTCACACGATAGAGAAAACACCAAGATGAAAAAATCTAATCCATCTCATTTACCGACGAACATTTCTACTAAAGACCGGGCAACAAGTGGGAGGAAACTATTCTGCAGCCCGTGCAACTGTGTGTTGGAGCATAAGAGAGAATCGACGTGACGACCCACTTTGATTAATTCAAACATTCGAAAATGCTTTCTNAAATAGCCCAATTGCTTTTACAATAAATAAACATTGAATGTGTTTAATTGAATAGTAAAGGGTTTTAACGTTAGTGGCAGGTTGTGTGTGAGAGAGAATAAATAAGACAGCCCAATATTTAAAAAAACATTTATTCTTTTTTCCCGCATATTTAGCATATTTCGCAACTTTCCGCATATTTCGCAACTTCCCGCAATTTCACCGCATAAAATCACATAAAAACCCCGCATGTTTAATCGCATAATCAAGGAATTTAGCCCGCATAATCAAGGATTTTTGCCCGCGTTTTTCTGGAGGGTCTAAGTAATGTATAGAGCCAGAAAAAAGCAAGTATGTACTTCATAAAGTAAGGATCCCTTTGTGAAGATTTCATATTATGTTCTACAGGATGGAAAAAGACGATATCAAGAAGCTGTTGCCAGAAGGAAGATTCGCCTTGACCGGTTAGTATCTCCCTTTAAGTTAAGATAAGATAATCCTTTATTAGTCCCAGAGCAGAAAAACAGATGGTAAACAGCAAGAGGTTGACCATGCAGATACAGATGTGTGTATTGTTTTGAGTGTAAAGGTCGCTTCATATGCTTTTTCTATGTTCCTAAAGCCATCCTTGAACTGTCGTCTTGTCAACTAGGACAAGATGCATAGATGGAATCAAATAGAACAGTATGTTTTTCTGGCCTTAAGTTGCCCTTTGTCAAGTTTGACTCAATAGAAATCATAATAAACAACAAATACATTGAACAATAATAATATATGTTATTTGGAGGCGACTTTCACGACACCCAAGGACACCGTACTATTCAATAAAAGGTTAAAAACAGCAAAACATGATGAAAACACAACAGGGCAAACATAGAAGAGGCATACACAACATGTAGTCTATGATTACAGTGTAAAGGCATTGGAAGTCGTACAGAAACAGTCGTTATTTCTTTGCTTTGTCCGGACAGAATCTATTACAATATTCTGCAGCGACGAATGACTTGGCGGAAAAGCATATCACAGCTGAGCAGACCTGACACTGTTAGGCATAATAACCTCATTGTTCAACTGTGAAATACCCTGCCTCCAGTATAATCTGTATTCCATTATTTGTTAACAAAAATGTGTTGGCTCATTGCTAGAATGAAAAGCTTCGTATTGGATAGCTTCTCTGTTTTTTTCTGTTGTCCCTGAGTCATTGTGCCCTGCATGTTTACAGGAAATACATCCTCTCCTGCAAGCAAGCTGAAGTCCCCGTCTCTGTGCCCTGGGAGCCAAGTAACCAGGTATTGGTATTTTTCTGGCACACACACTTGTTGAGTCTAGATTTTGCCAATATATTCAGACTGTGCCTTTTGTTTTTTTTAGATGTACCTGAGCTTCAATAATGTAACCGCACTGAAACTAATGGATACCAGAAACAACTGGGTATTGACTTCTGAGAAAAACAAGGTCAGTAATGTTTGTATTAGCTTCCAGGATATAGCTTTTTAAATGGTTACAGCTGTTGTGAATCCTCCATGCATTCTGATCTGTATTGTGTTGGCTGCACCGTCACAGTGTCTGCCCTGGAGGAAGGCCCATATTTTTCAATTAAATCGTGGAATAATGCAAGATAAGTAAGAAAACGTTGTCTAAAGCTAAAACCTTCAACCTTCCTCTGATCCAACTGTCTCTAAAAGTCATTTATAGAGATTTTGAGAATAAGACTTGAATATAGTCACCCTCAAAATATGTATAATTACCATATTTATAATCTCTCATGCACCCACCATGTGGCAATTTTGACAGCATCAAACTTGACGTGCGTACGTTGGAATAATGTGAAATCCTATTTATAGACACAGAACTCACCGTCACGTTGTGTTTTTGCTGCGTTCTTAGGTCAGACTGTACACGCTGGAGGAAAACCACATGCTCTGTTTCAAGGTGGAGATGAACGTCAGCGTAGCAGCTGAGCAGACGTTCCACCTCCTGTCAGACCTGAGGAGGAGAAAGGAGTGGGACCCGCTCTATGAGTCAGTGTGAAAACAGTTATCTGGTGCAAGACTATTAACAGTTATTCCAATAGTAGATTAGCTTTAAGGATAATTCTGATGTTTTTTATTGTCAGCCAATCACAAAAAAACACAATAACAAGGTCAGAGAATGGAAAAATCCACAAATCAACAGTTTAGTTAATTTCCTATAACAGCAGGCAAGTGTTACTCAAACAAGAGTGTTTCTTATGGGACTATTTTCATCTGTGGATGTATATGCATTTGGTGAGTATTTACGTCAGTAGGATGGTGTGTGTGGGATCGAGTAAAAAAAAAAAAGAGAGACAAGGCATCCATTGTGATTTATTGCAATGGAGTGGATTATTGCTCCAAATGTCGAACATTAATAATAATATTAATAATTGAACTGTTGGTTTTTGATTTTTTTTTCATTCACTTTTTGACACCAGGAGGAATGAAAAATATGACCAGCCTTACATATTTAAATTCCTTTTAAATATAACAGCAACCAACCAAACAAATAGTGATGACGTCAGATGATATGTTGTGTCTGCATGAAATAAAAACTTTGCACATACAGTATTAAACGCTAACACTGTGCTGCTGCAGCTGTTATTTGTAGTGGATGTTACAGATACAATTATCGAATTATTAACAGATGAATTGTCTTGATTGATAGAGACAGCAGCGCAATACGTTGATTCTACATCTTAATATTATTATTAGCATCTGATGCTTAATCCTTTGTGTGCAGGGAGTGTGAGTATATCAACCAGGCAGATGAGGAGGACACTCTTTATCGCGTGGCCACACCGTCCATCAGCAAACGGGGGAAAGGCCAGGACTTTATCTTGCTGGCATCTAGGAGGATGCCATGTGACGCCAGGTCAGTGACACTTCTTTAATTATTTCTCTGCTGTATTTATTTCATTTTCTCTTGCATTTTTTGATTTCCGTTTCCACCTTTTTTATATGATATATTTTTGCAACCAGTTATTGCATTACTGCTTGCTCCTTCATAAAGTCTCATGATGGTATCCCTGCTCCTCTCAGGGACCCATATCTGATCGCTCTGCGCTCTGTCACTCTGCCTACTCACCCCCCCACGGAGGACTACACCAGAGGAGAAGTGCTCTGCGCCGGCTTCACAATCTGGGAAGAGTCCAGCACTGTCACCAAGGTTGGCACTTCAGCATGCCGCGTGCTATGAGCTCATCACTGCATTAGCACCAACGATTCATCACTGCAGAGCTAGGAACAGACAGGCTGCAGTGGTTTACTGCACCACATGTGACCTGTAAGAGCCACTTACACACAGAGATTAGGTTAGATTATACTTTATTGATCCCACATTGGGAAATAGTTTTGTCATAGCAGTATGTAAACAAAGCATTCCACATGAGTTAAAATTTAAATAAAATAGAAAATAAACAGTAAATATATATATCAACACTAAAAGATATATACTGTATTTAATAAATATAGAGTTTAAGTTAGTCTAGACATATTTATATTCGAAAAAATATGTTTATATTGGCATGACAGATCAGATATTAAAATGAATACCACCATTTTTGTATAGTTCGGTGTGCATTGATGTTATTGGAGTATGAAAAGGTCATGCTTCTGTTATTATTATTATTTAAGACAGGTGATAGGGGCCGCAATGCAGCTTTCTGTGCACATGTACAAAATAGTTTAAAGAGTACATGTTATATTTTTCTCATACTGCCTGTGCTGCAGCACCTCTTTTCACCCTCTGTCTGAAACCAGAGCCCAGTCTGCTCTGATTGGTTAGCTGGCCGGCTCTGTTGTGATTGGTCAACCTCTTAGAGATGTCCCGCCCCTTAGCCTATCATGTACAATGTGCTGATGCGCTAGCCAATAGAAGCCAAGTGCTACAAAGTGATGTCACTATGTTACAACAGTTAAAGATAAAACTTAGTTTGCTCAACGGCCACTTTATGATCTGATGTGTTTTTGTTTCAGATCACCTACTACAACCAGGCCACTCCGGGTGTCCTCCCCTACATCTCCACAGACATCGCAGGACTCTCCTCCAGTTTTTCCAGCACTTTCTCAGCCTGTAGTCACTTCCTGGAGGCCAACAAGGACAGCCCGGCTGCTCTGCCTCTGTCTGCACTGACACACAGGATGGCCTCCCTACAGGTGGACCAGAAGCACCAGCAGGAAGGATTAGCATGAAGTCTCACACATACTTGAATGTACTGTACGTGTCCTACCCTGAGATTACAAATATATTGTCAATTGGTTTGTATGTTCTTTAAAGTCCAACTGTTTGACTTTGTTTATTCTGAAAATGAGAATAGTTCTCTCGAAATAATAACATTGTATTCATGTTTTAGGTCTTGCAACTTGTTTTAAGCAAGATGAATAGGTATGAAGCAAGAGTGCACAATGCGTCTGAGCCGTTCTTGGATTATAAGACTTACGTTTTCTTAGAGCTAATATATAAGGAAAACCTACTGTACTATACTAATTTATAGATCAATTAATCATATTTTGATTTAAGTATTTAACACAATCTTTGCAATGTATAATCGTGAGAAAGCCATGTTTATTATGGTATTGCCAGTCTTTTAGTCTAAACTGTGATGTGTCAATCAGCCTCTTGTTATAGGTTATTTTCTACCTCCTGAATAAAGTGTTTCAATTATTTGATCAAGACTTTGAGTCTGAGTAGGCCAAGATGAACATTTATTGTGTAATGATGCTTTTATTTTGAAATGTATGTATTTTAGAGGACAACTCTTGCACTGATTGTATGATATATGTTGACATTTAATGGCTGAGTATCTCACATGGCAAGCTCCCTTGATTTGAACTGAAACAATAAACACAATGGACCAGTGCATTCTTCTCATTTAGCCACTTCCCTCACCCTGCATTCCTGCCATTCTTATTCTTATCTTATCTATCCTATTCCTTGACCATTTTCAAGGCAAACAGCTGCAGCTTATGCTCCACTTGTGATGTTAGTGTTGTTATACTGTAGTAGGTGCTCAGGTCAGAGGAGTAGTTTGAAGTTCAAGTGAAACAGAAAGGTGGTTATATTTGGAATCATAGCTTTCCATGTATTTAGTTTGTTCCATAATTCCTATATGATATCATCACTTCCTGGACAGCAGAACAGGGAAGTGCATAAGTAACAGCGTTGGAATGTGACAAAGTACATGTACTCAATTGTTGTACTTAAAAACGCCCTATATTGTTATGCTTTTGGGGTTTTCCCTTACCTGTAGAAAG